ATAGCTTGTTGCACTACACCCACATTGAATCACAAGAGATAAACAACATGGCTGATAACTTCGACGGCCCACAAGAGATAAACAACATGGCTGAACGGCTTGCTGCACTACTTCCACATTGAAATAGAAATCACCCGTTAAGGCTAATCACTCACCTCACACGCTGGCTAAGTTAACGTTTTCTTTAACTAACTAACTATTTTCTGACTGAACTTCATTTGACTTCTACTTACTTAGTCGCCTATATATATATATATACACTGCCCAACTAAGGCCTAGAACTTTCTACAAACTACGAGACGCTATGATGTAACAATACTCACTTAAGGCAACGAGAAAAATAAAGAAGGTTCGAGTAACGTGACGTCCATTTAAAACAATTCTTACCGAGTTAAGTAACCAAATTTGTCATAACTATCGCCTTTAAATAATAACTTTTAACACTCTTGTTATGAAACTAAATAATCATTAAATATTAAATCACTAAATGGTTTGTGAGCTATCGTCGGTATCAAATCTTAACGGTACCAGAGATATGCCCAGCTTAATCACAATGGACTTCTGGGTGAGAGGGTTCTCTTTCATAAAATAGACTTCAATTTGCATATGAGGGCGATCCTTTGTACTGTCATGAGTTTCTGTTACTGTTCCAAACGATCTACTATGAAAGGTTTTCCGATTCTATGATTCATTCTTCCTATTCTGTTTCTTTTGGCTCTACTTCGTTTTAAAATTTCGCTATATTAACATCCTACCTAGAAAAATCTGTGGCACTAACATACGGCTGAGAATTTACCATGAATCAAATTTATAAGCCCTTAACATGTTGTCCGTGGTATTAACAAGTCTCATATGTGCGACGATACGCCACTTCAATAGCATATACCAATTATTATCTTTATACCTTGCAATTACTTCTTTGAAATCATAGAACACAAGCGCACTTCATTCATATTGAAGCACAAGTGAAAATCAGTTTGGCTGATAATAGCGGAGACTTACTAAACTATACCCATATTGAATCACAGATATATAAACAGCGACGGCTTGTTGCACTACACCCGTGTTGAATCACAGCAGATAAACAGGATGGTTGATAACATCGACGACTTACTGCACTACACCAATACTGAATCACAGCAGATAAACAGGATGGTTGATAACATCGACGGCTTGTTGCACTACACCAATACTGAATCACAGCAGATAAACAGGATGGTTGATAACATCGACGACTTACTGCACTACACCAATACTAAATCACAGCAGATAAACAGAATGGTTGATAACATCGACGACTTACTGCACTACACCAATACTGAATCACAGCAGATAAACAGAATGGTTGATAACATCGACGACTTACTGCACTACACCAATACTGAATCAAAAGGGAAAAACAGCGTGGCTGATAAGTGTAGGCTTGGAGCACTACACACATATTGAGTCACAACCAATACACTGTTTGGCTGATAACAGCGATAGCTTGTTGCTCTACACCCGTATTGATATCACAAGAGATAAACAGCTTGGATGATAACATCGACTTGCTACACTACACTCATAGTAAATCACAAGAGATAAACAGCCTGGCTGTTAACAGCGATTTGCTGCACTACACCCATATTAAATTACAAAAGATAAACATCAATGGCTTACTCAACTACACCCATATTGATTCAAAAGACACAAACAGCTAGGCTGATAACAGTGGCGGTTTGCTGCACTATACACATATTGAATCACAAGGGATAAGCAGGGTGGCTGATAACAGTGACGACTTGGTGCACTACATACGTACTACATCACAAGATATAACAGAGTGGTTGATAACAGTGACGGCTTGGTGCACTACACACGTACTGCGTCACAAGAGATAAAAAACATAGCTAATAACAGTGACGGCTTGGTGCACTACACACGTACTGAGTCACAAGAGATAAACAGAGTGTTGATAACAGTGACGGCTTGGTGCACTACACACGTACTGAGTCACAAGAGATAAACAGAGTGGTTGATAACAGCGATAGCTTGTTGCACTACACCCATATTGAATCACAAGAGATAAACAACATGGCTGATAACTTCGAATGTGTTTCACAGCTGTATTTTAACAACAGAGATAGGATAAATAATGTATCTTGTCAATTGGGTTCTAAAGTAACTGAATCATCCTGTGTGGACGTTTGATGAAAGAGAAAGAGACAATTATATAAAGCTCTGGATACAACTGTTCTAAGCAACAAAATAAGTCAAGTGAAGTTAAGAATTAAAACGTTAAGTTAGTGAAAGTGAAGTTAAGACTGCATGGTTGTTAGTTTAGCTGTAACGGGCGATATTTTAAAGTCAGTTTCACAGTTTAACAGAGATAAGGAGGAATAATTTGTCTTGTTAAAAGGTGTTTTAAAGTAATTGAACCAGCCTGTGTGGACTTTTGACAAGAAAAGATAATTATTTAGAGTTTTAAATGCATATAGTGTAAACATTTTTTTGTATATACATTTGACTTGTTTTGAACATATTATTTTAAAACAAATGGATTATGTTCTGTTCGTTTATTTTTCGAACTTATCGCCAACAAGTCACAGACTCCTACTGTAGAAGAATCCCAGCCCATATATAAAACCCAGACAAAAGGTATGATATAGAAACGCCAAAATCATATCGTACAGAAAAGTTTTATTTATGTAAGTATAACATAGTTAATATTATGTGGTGCAAGAAAAATAATTTATCATACATGACATATAGTTTACATACATTGTCTGACATAACATGAAAACTTTAACATATTTTCGTCACAGTTTCAGTTTGTTTCATGCAGCGCCTAGTGTTAAAATGTTTCGTAATGGAATTTATAGGAATTTTGAGAATGTAGAAAGAATTAAGGTATTTTTAACACGATAGTAGAAGGTATATCTTCTATTCATTTTCAAGCTCTTTTTTAAAGAGGAAAAGTTAGAATCTTAACAACTGAAAAATAAGTGCATTCAGAACAACTTAGCGTGCACAGCTGTTTCTAATTCATTTGAATTACTTTTAAGTTAGAACTCTGGTACTCTTCTTTATGAGCTCTTCGTCTTAACTAGCCTATTTACTAACGAGAGGAGGAGGCCAATAAGCTGAAAATTGTGCTCAGAAGGAAATAAAACAAACTCATAATTAAATAACTAATCGCTATGTGATGTGGAGAATTTAAAAACAACATATCATATAGCAGGAGGTGAAAGTTTGATAACTTTCCGCGGAATAATTGATTTAAGTTGAATTAAAATAAGTTAACTGACACGAATTGCGTTAATTATATTTTTTCTTTACCATTTATCATTTTTTTTTGACAAACACAATGAGTTATTTTTCGATTTCGTTGTAAAGAAATTTGAAATCAGAGGTAAGGAAACGTTATAACACTTAATTAATCACTTATATTGTTAATTTAGAAATAATTGGAAGTGGAAATTTTATAATTTGCTGCTACTAGAAGGATTTTAAAATAAATAGCTAAATCCAAGAAGAACCAACACTGCCTTTTTAAAACAACAACTAAATTTACTTTCGTTTGTTCTCAGCTGTATTTACATGGATCAAAAATCTTCACCCATCAGTTAAATTTCAGTTAAAACACGTGGACGTTATTTGTATTGAACTTGGAATAAGTTAACATTTAAAATTACCTTTCGAATAATAGAGGCAGTTGTGTCAGTAAGACAATAACGATAAATTATAAATAAAATATTTATATTTTACTAGTTAAGGGGCCTACTCGTCTAGCAATGTTTAACGAATTCAAATTTGTACCTGATGATGACAAAACCTTGTCGAAACGTTGTACATTTGCTGTTATGTTAAACTTATATTATATTGTACCTGATGATGACAAAATCTTGTCGAAACGTTGTACATTTGCTGTTATGTTAAACTTATATTATATTGTACATGATGATGACAAAAACTTGTCGAAACGTTGTACATTTGCTGTTATGTTAAACTTATATTGTACCTGATGATGACAAAACCTTGTCGAAACGTTGTACATTTGCTGTTATGTTAAACTTATATTATATTGTACATGATGATGACAAAAACTTGTCGAAACGTTGTACATTTGCTGTTATGTTAAACTTATATTGTACCGTACCTGATGATGACAAAACCTTGTCGAAACGTTGTACATTTGCTGTTATGTTAAACTTATATTAAAGTTTTTCTGATGATGACAAAACCTTGTCGAAACGTTGTACATTTGCTGTTATGTTAAACTTATATTATATTGTAC